CATTTAAATTTTAGATAAATCAATAGTGATTCTGACCTAACGGTCTGATAAGCACAGTGGGAGTTTTGTGACGTATCATAAAGTATAAGTTCATTATTTATATTGATGGTTAAAGACACCACAACCCAGGTCTTATTGATGTTTCAGAGCTCCATCTTTATTTATCTCATCTAGTTTTTAAGTCTACTTTTGCCTAGAGTATTTAATTCTGTAAGTAGTATTTACCAGACCTGATGATGTGTTTTGTACATCCTGTCCTGTTTAGCAAAGCTTTATGCAGAAAATCAAGCCGCAGACGTTATTATTTGAGGAACTCTTCAGGTTATGTAACCTGACAGATAATTGGCTCATGTTACAACATTTATATCTGTGTGATCTGTGATGTGGATTAACAGTTCAGCTCTTGATGTCACAGCTTTTAGATGAGGGTAAAACACTGAACAACCACTGTGTGTTTGAAATKTTTTCTCTCTTGCCTTGATGGTCGACGTAAGGTGCAGAAGCCCTGAGGATTCTGGGAATGTCTGAGCCCATGTCCAGTTCTGTCAGGGTCAATTCATTCATGAAGTAAGGCAGCTGAAAAACACACAGGCAAACAATTAACATTTAACATATGGGTTTTAATATTTGGTAAACTTTAGAACGCCATAACATCATATAGAACAATATAAGAAGGGTAAATCCCCCTCTTTATAAGAACAGACAGTAAAGACACATCTGCATGCACACATGGATGAAGCTGTTAGAAACACCTTACAGCATGAACTCTGTGTCCCTGAAGGACTGAGGTCTGTTCTCAAGAGTTTTATTGAGACTGAAATCATTTAAAAGCTGAGACCRTTTTGAGAAACACAAACATGTAWTTTAATTGGATGTGTCTATAAAAACTGTTTCCTGTAGCGCTCCATCTTTCCTGCTTGTTATAAGTTCTATAAAAAAGAAGAAGAAGAAAGCCCAACTCGTTASTGGTCTTGTTACACTCACTCGAATCTTGCTGAGCTTCATCTGGATCTTCTTTGAGACCACTTCAGCCCAGTAGGGCTCGGTCAGGAAGTCCCAGAAGAGCCGACGGAGAGCCGCGTTCACCCAGGKAACAGCATGCTCCRCTTCCTCCTCTCCCTGGGGCTGCACCTGAGCTGAAGTGTTCCCCTGAAGCTGAAGACAGAGCTCACATAAATAACACTCAGAGAAAAACAACAACGCCTTTTTCTCTGCAGAACGTTCAGTCTGCGGCTTCTTAAGTCCCTCCTCTGCCTCAAACCTRAAGTCTGACTGAGATGGGATGTTGTGTAAAGTATAAAAACAGAAATAAATAATTTGCAGATCTCATAAACCCATATTTTCTTCACAACGGATCATAGTAAAAGGTAATAAATYTTTGAAGTCTAAATTATAAAAATGAGTATTTGCTACCTTCTTCTCAGCCCCGGGGCTGCTCTGCAGACTGGAAGAGGAGCTGGCAGCTGTGGGGCTGACCGCCAGCTGTTTCGGCAGTATGGAGCCCATGTAGACAGAGTAGTCTAATGGAGGCTTGCTTTTGGCACTGCCTGCTGTCGTGCAGGAGGCTGCAGAGTCCTTGGACTTCAGCTGAGATGCCAGCACCTCATTGAGACTGCTGCGGCTGTTGCTGCGGCTGTGAGAGCTCGTGGCTGTGGCAAAAAGAAAAAAAAAAAATTTTAAAAAGACATTCAACTACAAACTTTTTTTTTAAAATTAGGTTTATTTTGTCTTGATATAAAAAAGACAGCTTTGAAGACTTTTACTGACCCTTTTTACCGTTTCCACCACCGGAAGTTTTCTTTAGCTCCCCTCTGATGTTGGAGGCCGACAGAAACCTCTGGAACCAGTCTTCTTTGTCCCTCCCAGTCCTCCCAAACAGGTAGAGGGTCTGGCGTCTTCTGCAAGAGGACGGTGACTGTCGCTCCTGTGCTTCGTTGTCMTTTGAACTTGTGGTCTGATTSCCCKCCGACCCCTCTGTCTTTGACATGAAGTCATCTTGTTTGGCGAGTTCAATGCAGATGGGGTATTTTTTGTTCCACACTCGCTTCCTGGCCAGATTTGGAGGCACTAAATATACCTGAGAGCATAAATAACATTTAACGTGTTATTTRATTGTAACTATAAGAAAAGGTTTCTTTTAGTTTTTTCATGAACCTAATGATCACAAAATGAGCTGTTCTTTAAAAAGGTTTCCGGCTTAAAGTTCAACTATCCTTGACATTTAATAAGTGAATCAATCAGCTAAAAAGTTYAAGAACAACTTCCAATAAAACCTTTAAAGCTACATGAAAGATGTGTGGAAATAAAAACATACTTTGCTGTTGGTAAGGTCATAGATCTTCTGGCTGACGTAGGACACGTCAGGTTTTTGTTCCTTGTGCGTGGCACGGCGGGCGATGTTGCGGTTGGGTTTAGACAAACGAATGGTGGAACCCTCCAAGCGGACAAAGACGGACTGCGTCAGCATGGCGTGGTACGTCTCAGGGTCGTAGTTCAAAATCTCATTCATCCAGCCCTGGAAGGAAGACAAGTAAGCTCCATTTTAATGAAATCTCTCTGCACTGACAGTGTGTTCTATTAAATTACTGAATCATTTGCTTAAAACTGTTTAAATATGTAGAATTTATAACTTATTTACATGGTGATTAAAGTGATTTTCCAACTCTTTTAAAAGGAATACACACTGTTTTGTTAAATGAAGTCAATAACAATAATAGCATTATTAT